TAAAAAAAAAAAAGGTTTAATAAGCTTTAAGTCCATATTGATTAAGTTTAAGTTAATTAGGGAAAAACTTCATCTTAAGTTGTGTAAAAAATAGTGTTGTGATTTTATATCCTGTGTTATAAAATCACCCGTGTTTTCAGAAAAAAATATTACAATAAATGATTTCAAGGCTTTATTATTATTGGTTTATTATTTTCAATAATGAACCATTGTGATCGACCAAAAAATTCAAAAACTTAACCCGCTCTCAAAATTTGAGGTTTCACGTTTCAGGGTGCGTAGAATTCAAAAAACGAATAACAATTTTTTTGTCCGTCTGCCGTCCGAAACTACAGGACCGATTTTTTTTCTAATTTGGATATAAAATCAGAGGTCACCCGAGGATGATCCTCCTTCATCGAAATTATTATCTTCCTATTACTTTCAAAATGGCGGCCGAAAAACCTGCGTTGCTATAGACTGTAGCGCCTAAACGAATGTACCGATTTCAATAAAACTATGCTAAAGTCATTTTTACTACGCTCTTTAAATTTATCTATATAACATACTTCGACGAAAAGAAGCTAGAAAAAAAGTTACGAGAGATGGTAAAATTAAATTCCGAATAATTCAAAAAGTTTACACTTTTTTGTAGATAGTGTTGGTTTTTTCAAAGTTTTGAAATTTCCTAAAAACCAAAAATAAAATAATCGTTAAAATCGGACAATTAGGAGCAAAGATATGGTTTCCGGTTTTTTTAATACGTTCTACTCCAAATGTTATATCCTTTGTTTGGTGTTTAAATTTCGTATGTGTTACTGAAGTAATGCTAATTTTAGCATATTACTAATGATTAAAAAAAAAATGCTTAGTTCAATAATTGGAATCACCTTTTATTTATTTTTTTTTGTAACTACCAAGGCAATGTTACTTTAGATATATAATTGTTTGGAAATATTTGCGGAATAATTTGCAGCGTTTTTTTTTTTTTTTTTTTTTTTTTTTATCTGCCGAGGTCTGCTATCACATGTATAAATATTTTCCACATATATAAAAATATAAATATATTGCTAGACACCCTAAGAAGCTATGATACAGAGAAAATACCCACTCTTTGAGATAGAAGCAATCTAATATGAGACTATCAATAATGATTATGAAATAATTGATGGTACTTAAATTGGGGGGGGGGCGAAGGTAGTGATGCTAGAGCTCCGTCATTATTGGTCCACGCCTCCAGTAATTTTTTAATTATTCCAGTAATTAGTGATTAACTAATTATTGACTTCAATGAAGGCACGAAACTCCAGGACTATGACTTATTATAGATGCAGGAAGTCATCTGGGACCGTCGGCATATTTAATGTCAGGTTTTTTTTTTCTCATTTTTTTTTTCTCTTATCTTTCATAGCTAAGACAACTGTTTTTATTTTATGACAGTGTTACAAGATCTTCCATGGATTGATTTATTATCACTGTAATTTATAGTAGTTTATTACTTTTTATTGTATTTTCAACATAATTATAATTATTAACGCGTGAGAAAATAATTGAATTTATATTTATAATATATTTTATGTAAACTATAATATTCATAAAATATTATAGAAAATAAAAAAAATATTTTATTATATATTATGAATCATTTTGAAGATTATTTTCTCCTTCAGGTAGAAAAAAGTATATAAACATAAGAAAACTTTTTCTGTACATAAGTCAAAAAGTATAAAATTTATGGATGATTTAGAAGATTTCTTAATTGTCTAATAACCGAGAAAAAAAAAATGTTATTGATATCCGACCATTTTTTTCAAAGATACAACCAGATGAAATTTGCGACGGTGTTTTGTTTTCTAACACATTTTATTTACTTATTTAGAAATAATTTTGCCATTTATTCATTCACAAATATACAAAGGGAAATGTTCGTACGTAGTATCATAAAACAAATTGTTTTTAATACAATAAATTTAATATATTTAATAATTAACCAATAATTGACTGAACGAGACCGATAGAAATAAATAAATATTAAAAACAATCTAGTAATATATTTTTATAGTTAAAAATTTAAGGTTGTGTATGTTTAAGTTTAGTTACTTAAATATTATTTCCATATTATGTTAAAATGACATTAATGAAAATCAAGTAATTAGTAAATTTTAACATGGATAGCATCAATTCCTTTTAAAATGATATATGGTGTAATATTTTTAATTTATATTTAATAATTATAGACTAAAAATATTTTTAATTTTTATAAAAGTTATGTTTATTTTTATTTCAGGTAAATCCTTGCTCAAATAAATAAACACATATAACAAATTTATTTATTAATTTTGAATAAAAATCTCTTTGTTCAACTCTTTTTAATTTTTATTCTATTTTTCAATACTTAAAATAATGCTACTAATTTTCACATTATTCATAACTAAATATTATGTATTAATATATTTAACAGTAGATAGATAATTTATAAAAAATAATTAGGGTAATTATGACATTTGATAAAACCATAATTGTAACAATTATTGTAATTGTAAGCTAAGTAGTATGGTAGCATACAATATTAGAAAGTCCTAATAGGTAATACAAATAAAATTTTCAAACTGTTATATCATTGAAACTTTTTATATTTAAGTAATTAAATTTACAATAAATTATGGCATCAGTCATTAATAATTTCGAAAAATACTTAAGATTAAAAATTCAGGAATAAAATTGCAGTAGCCAATTGAGTGACTAAATCATACTGTTACAACACTTGTTAATTTATTATTAATGCATAAATACTATAATATAAATAATGTTTATGTTCTCAAATGCAATGGTGGTTATATTTAAAGAATAATGAATTATCGTTATAACCTAGTAAGAATAAAATACCATTTAATGATTTCTAATTATCCATTAATTTAATTAAATAAAGTTATATTTATGACTTATTTTTAATTACTTTAAATATTTCAAGAAATAGACTTTTTTAATATAAATTAAAAAATAATCAATACATAACTGATTTTTAAATGCAACTTAAATGAATAGAGACAGTTCTGATATAAAGAAATCATTGAAATTTTGAATCAATATTCTTATAAATTTTAAAAGTATTTAGCTGTTAATTGTCAAGTAATATATAATGTAAAATAAAACAAATTTTATTTTCTCCTAATATTATTTTTTTAAAAAAAGGTAAACAAGATTTTGAAAAGTGTACAAACTTTGTTATTATCATTATAATTCCGACCATAAACAAATATTAGATTTTTAGTGATTTTTTCAATAAGTTTGTAATACAGTTATACAGAAATATTTTAATAATATAGTTATCTTTTAACATTACAATGTTGTAAATATTGGTTAGTGTAAATATATCATGTCCATAGATATTTGATAAGATATAACAAATTTAAAAGAACCGTTAAATTTCAAATAATAAGCATCTATTAATTCATTAATCCATTACATTTTAAATGGGGCCAAAATAGCATTTTTACTAAATTAATGTTATAAATTCTATTTTATAAAAATATTATATCATTGTTACGCCTATATGTTATATATGATGTTTGTAAGATATAACTAATTATATTTTATTTTAAAATTTTAAAACACATTTGCTAATTATCAAAATCATGACGGGAGAGAATGAAGATTTAAACTATTTTATTTTAACAACATATGGAAATTTTATTACAAAATATTTTTCACAAAATTTGTATTAACATTATTTCAAATCACTTCCAATGATTGTATATAAATTAATTTTATTCACAGGGTCCCGCTTTTTCAGCGGGTTATCTTTCAGAAGCTTCTTGGATGTTATAGTTGCCAAAGAATACTTTACTGATATTTAGTTTTTAAAATTAAAATATTGTTGTTTATTTATGTCTTAGTGTATGAAAATGTTGAACGTATTTTTTAAATAAAAAAAAATATATATCTAGGTATGGGTTTTATTTTCAGTAACAGACTTACATACACATCAAAAGTGAGAGATCTTGAAGTCAAGACTCTTAAACACAAATAAAAGAATTAAACTTGTCGGTACAGTTATATCATAAGACAAAATGAGATATTCCACATAGATATGCTATGGAATACTTATCACAAGTTTAAGTTTTAATAATTGATATTTAATACAATCTTTCACGAATAAAAGTCTATTGGAAAGATAATGAAAATTAGTAGAATAGATCTTTTCGCTATGATTTCTCAGGTACTTTGTATAATATATATAGAAATTTTTTAAACTATTAAATTGAAGAGATGTTTTACAGTGAGACAAGTTAATTAATTATTAAATACATTATTAATTCAACAGTCATCGTAAGGTATAAAAGCTCACAATTGTGTGAGTTGAGTAGACCATTTTGATAATATTATATAGGAATGTTTCGTTGATATCACTTATACGTTGAATAATTTAGAGAGAATGAGAGTTCTCACTGAATATTTAAATATTGTAGATAATATGAAAGTCTTGAGTAGTTGGAATTCCTAGCATATGTTACAATATCTGCCGATTCATTGTTACAAGAGGCAAATACTTATCTATAGATAATTATCTGTTCGATTAATTATTAAACTAGATATTTTTCAGTGAGATAAGATTTATTAAGTAAATCGTTAATTTAAATTTTTTTTATTGTATAGAATATATTGATAACGTTATATTGAAGCTGTGTTTTAGCAAGCTTAAACGTTTTTGTGTGATATTTATTGACCTTACGTTGTAATTAATTATTTAATTATTGAAATTACATACGTTTTAATATAAATTAAGTTGAATATATATGTATATGAGTGTGTGTATTTTGTGATAAATAAAAATAGCGTTAAAGTTATTGCGGACTTCATTAGCACTGTCTAACCTTACCGTTAATGATAAAAAGTTTTAAGTATTGTAATGAGACTTGTAGATTGTTAGGTTTTTTAGCATATGTTACAGCATTAAATGCTATAAGAGATAAAGGCCTAAGTATCCTAAGCTCTAGATAATTATCTGTTCAATTGATTACCTGTAGGCGGCGTTGGCGGTGACGGCCTCGCCATTATCGCCGCGATGGAGAAGTCTGTCGCCCTCACTTTGGCCGGAGGAGGCCCTTCCTGTTGCATCGTTCCGACCAGCATCAGACCTTCTTCCGCATCAGTTTCTCGTTTCTTTCTTCTAATTCCCTTCTTTTTTTCCCTTTTTCCCTGTTGCTTTCTGCCTTTATCCTTTCCTTCCTTGATGAGTACGTCACGAGGGGCGCGCACTGACTGGAGGCAGGCCGGAGCGAGGCTACCCCCCACTCCCGCGCCTGGTAGGCGTGGCGCTTTAGGCCACGCCCACCGCCCCCCACCCTCTCATCCACCCCTCACACGCTCTTCATACACCGGGTGGGGAGGAGCCAACAGAGGAAGGAGGGAGGGGATTCGAGAAGGGACACAAAAGGAAGGGATAAGTAAATAATAGAAGTTAAATTGTCATCCGATGATTTTCCCCACCCTTCGGGGGGATTGATTGCGAAGAAACCAATAAGTGAAATCTAATTCCAGTCTTCCGTTTGTACAGTTACTCCATTAATTAAAAAGTAAAGAAATACAATATCATTTCAGCGTGCAATATTAGTTCCGTTTCGTTACTCCATTACATAGGCGGATCTACGGGGGAGAGGAGGGGGAGGAGGGAGAGCTTTCGGGATGAAGCCCCCCAAAATGGTAAAATATAGAATAGAATAGAATAGAAAATTGAACTTTATTCTGGGACTAACCTTAGAATAACAAAGATGAATTAATACAAAATAAAATACATATCTGGCCAAAAAATCTCTCTATATATATAAATGAATGTATGTCTGTCTGTTCTTGGTGCATTACTAAACCATTCATCCGATCGCCATGAAACTTTGTGAAGTTGTTCCCAACACTCCTGGGAAGGTTTCTGGCATATTACTTCTGTGTTACGATAATTTTATATATGTAAAAAAAATAAAAAAGGAAATGTTTTTCTGTTCAAAGCCGCAAAAAAATGTGTCGCTATAAGCTGTAACGCCAAAACTGCTTTATCGATTATAACGAAACTTGGCTAAAGTCTTCCCCTTGAAACTCTTTTAATTTATGTGTATAACTAATTTATGTACTTTCCCAAAAACAAGCTGAAAAATGTTACGATGAATTCAATATTTTATTACAACTTATATTTATAAGTTATATTTAGTTACTTATAAGTTATATTTTATATAACTAAAAAAGTACAGAATTTTTTATTAATAATACCCATATTTATATGAAAGATTTCTGAATTGCTGACAAAATCGGACGGTTCATTGCAAAGTTAAAGAATTTTAAACACTTACTGCTTTCTCTTCAGAAAGGGCCGTTTTCTTTTCCTTCCTCACTACCGAAGATGGGCAAGCATTTTTTTTTTTTAATTGATTAATCGAAATATTATAATTACTACAGTAATTGAAATTATCATTTGAAGAATTTATATGATTCTCCTTATGTAGGTCAATACTATTATACGTTTTTTAAATTTAGATTTATAAGTTCAACTCAGACTGTTTCTGATGATTATGAATGAGAGCGTATTTACTCAGATGATTATAAATGTTCATTTGAATCATGAGAAAAAAAATCATTAGAATTAGTTTAAATTGAAGCCATTTTGCAGACAAATTTTTTTCCCCAACTTTTTAAACATGACAGATGTCCTTTGCTACTAATCTATTCATATGTGCTTTCTATTTTCTTTCTTTTTCAATTTGCCAGGCTAAGCAACAGCAGCGCGTGGCCGGGTAAAGCTAGTACAAAATAAAATACAAATCTTGCCAAAAACTACCTTATAAAAATTGTAACATTATGTACATTATTTAAAAAGTAGTATGTAACCACTAAGAAAAAAAAAAAAAAAGATAACATTATGTAAGGTAACATTATGTACATTATTTAAAAAGTAGTATGTAACCACTAAGAAAAAAAAAAAAAGATATATATATATATATATATATATATATATATATATATACATAAATGAACATAAAATATTCTCAAAATTACTTAATATTGTGATGAAAAACAGAAAAAGAAAAGAAATTACATATCTATATATGCATAACTACACAATTTATATACAATAGGCTTTCTAATAGAAAAATAATTTAATACAAAATGTAATAATATTTACAGTGATTCATATAATATTATGCAAACACTAAGATAAAATAAAATCTCAGGATTACTTGTGGTATAAAGGAAAAAAAAGTAACTATGTATACGTACATACCCATATCGGTACACAGAGAGACAAAAAGTATAAACTATAAACATATATATCCGAAAGAAAAAGCACAACCTGATGCGAAGAAAAAAACAAATAAATAGTAAAAATTATAGTGAAAGATCATTGCTGTTTTATGTTAAAACTTAAACACTAGGAATCGCCATTTACTTCTCACAAATTCAGTTCATAAAATGAAATTTATGGTTGGGAATCGTCTGTTTGGGATGTGAGGAGATATTGGAAAAGGAGGTATTTGAAGGTTGACAGTGAAGAGGCATGACGAATGTTATGTGGCAAAGAATTCCGATAGGTGACGGAGCGGGATAAGAAGGAACGTACATTGGTTTTTGTCTTTTGGAATGGAATATAGAGGTCAACATATAATCATGTTTTATAGAAAAAAATATTAAAAACTATATCTTAAAGTATTCTCGTTCGTTAAATTACATTTAATATGACTTCAAGAAACACTTAAACACCATTTCATATAGGTAGTTAATTTCTTTATTTTTTTTCAAATTAATTATCCTTATATGTATATGAAAAAAAATCTTTCTGGCTGAAGTCCCCTCCCCCCCAAAATTAAATCCTGGATACGCTAGTGCTCCATTATGGCGACTAGTTTCAAGATCGCCCAGATCATACTGTTCCCAAATTCCCGAAAATAGCGAAACGTTAACAATCCTGACTGTTTAAGCCCAGCGACATAGCTGTTTTAGGTATTTATATGTATAAAATTTGAGGAGAGGTCATTCGCTCCCCAATAAGAATAGAGAGAGAGCGAATACATCGTTTCCTTTTCTCCAATATTAGATAGATAGAAATAATGTTTGAAGGAAGGAGATGGTCCGATGTGGCGGTCATAAATAGGCTAAATAGTGGCAAAAACATTTTATTTAAAGCCAACGTTTCGACCCGACTTTGCATGTCTCCTTCAGGAAGGTGTGTTCAGCTAGTTTCACTTAGAACTCAATTGAAAATATTAGATACTTCATAATTATTATTATAATAAATATCTGGAACGTCTCAAGATATACTGATTCACTACATATGCAATTAATTATTATAAAATAATCCAGTAGTTCACTTTTAGAAAAGTTGCATTTTAAATTCAACAGTTAGAATAGGATAAAGGATACTGAGAAGTCAGTTGTCTGATTTTATCCGAACCAACGTAAACCAATACTGAGCAGCTAACATTTTCTTATTTAAAAAAATAGATATATATGTTTCAGATATCTATTCATATAGATATATAAATATATATTGAAGATATATTATATAGATATATAGATATACAGATATTCATATAGATACATAGTTTCAATTCTAAATGAAACTCCTAGCTGAACACACCTCCCTGAAGATTACCTGAAAAGTCGGATCGAAACTTTGGCTTTTAATAAAATAGTTTTGCCACTATTTAGCCTATTTATGACCACAGCGGACCATCTCCTTCCTTTATAACACAGACGAATCTACGGGGAGGCTTTCGGGCTGAAGCCCCCCCCCCCCCCAAAATGGTAAAATATAATGCTTTACAGAAAAAAATATTAAAAACTATCTCTTAAAGTATTCTTGTTAGCGCAGTTAAATTTAATAGGACTTCAAGAACCACTTAATCACCATTTCATACAGGTAGTTCATATCTTTTTTTTCTAATTAATTATTATTATACGTATATGAAAAAAAATCCTTCGGGCTAAAGCCCTCCCTCCAAAAATAAATTCTGGATCCGCTTGCTTTATAATGCAACGGTCAACTATTAAATATTCGAAATAATATTTATTGTTAATCAAAATAACACATTAAATGTGTTACAAATATTTAAATAATAAATACAATATTGTTTATATCTATGGATATGGACCATTGCCCGTCGGTATGGCACACAGTGGGACGAATGACCAAACTAGGTGGAAAAAATTAATGGTGAATTCTTTTAAAACCGACGTAATAAGATTAAAGAGGGATGTTTAATTAGAAGATAGTCATAAATTGTTTTGATTTTAGCGGTTCCCAAACGATAAATACAACCTCTAAACACCTACTGATTTGATGTCTCATGTTTTGTTTAATCATTGTCTTATCTTTCATTTAAGTTTACTACCACTAGTTAATTTTTTTTTTACAATAATTTGTATTTGATGGGTATAGATACCAAGTATTTATGTATGTCATTCATCGAATTATCAATTCATAATTTGTACACATTTTGGAAAATTCGAGCTTGGATTCATTAAGGACCTCGTATCATCTGCTAGGATATCGACAAGCCCTATATCCTAAAAATCAGAGGCACTTACTTCAATTTCTGAAAAAACACAATCACTACAGACATATTTAAACAATACCATCTTCATAAATGAACTCACAACGTAAATCAGAAATAACCTATAAAGTTGTAACAACACGTTCTTTAAACTAACATCCTAACAACATACACATCTAAAATTTTTCATACATAAGACATATTTAAATGTAATTCAATTATCAATATGGTGCCTATAACCTATAAATTTGCACACGACGCCTAAAATACAACCAAATAAATAAATTCATAATTTGACCAATTAACTTATTTATATCTGCATTCTATAAAATATAATAATTTTATAACTTCAAATTTAGTGTACTAAAATAAACCCAAAAATACTAATGTGAAATTTTTCTCAAATGTTGCTTAGTAGGTATATTTAAGAAAAATGAAACAGTTGATTGCCTTTGTCTGCCTTTTGAGACATAATTTTTAAAAATATTCTTTTTAAATAAGGTAGTTATTCGGTATTTGGAAAAATCCTAGTGATGTATAGCCTATAGTTAATGTTATTTTACAACAATTTGAGTCGGAAAACATCTCTCTTTT